AATATATATATATATATATATATATGATCGGCAATATATATATATATATATATTATTTTATAAATAAAATAGTATCTTAGTATAAAAGATATATATCCCATTATTTTTTTTTTTTGGGTGAATAAGACATAAATAAAACATGAAAATATACAAAGATTACAAGGGGCATGCCCCAGGTCCTACGAACTATACAAAGGAATCCAAGAGAAACAAAACAGAAGAGAACAAAACGCAAATGTTCAAAACCTATTTCAAAGAAAATAGAAATTGAACAAAGGCAAAGGATCTAGCATCAACCAAAATAAAGAAAAATAATGAAGGTCCAACCAACCAAAAGACACAAAAGAGAGCAACCAAGATGTCCATCCAGATATCAACGACCAAACCCACATAGTTTTGAGGAGTCCACATGAAGTGTAACAGGAAGCCCAAAGTATGCTGAAAACCATCAATATGAACCCAGCAGCTCCACCCCACTATTTTCTCATCTTTTATTCTCTGTTATTTTTTTAGAAAAAAAATTATTCATTCTATTAGAGATTGTTTATATGATATTTAAATTTTTTTTATGTGTATATATATAATTTATATATCATGCTTTACATATATGTGTATTTGTCTATACGGTAAAAAAATATTGTGTATCTTTTAACCTCTGTAGTAATAAAATTTTAATTTCACCTCTATATGTGAGAGAAAGAGAGAGAGAGAGAGAGAGAGAGAGGTGTGAGTATGTGCAAGGTGTATTAGTGAGTGTAAGAGTTAAGGGTAAAATCTGTTTAGTTTAATTTTATAATTATGATTTAAATGTGAAATTGTGATTTTAAGTGTGGAGTTATGAGTTGAGTTTTGAAAAAATAAAAATTTGTATATATATATATATTTTGGTTGTTAACTATGGTTTTTGGTGGGGCTTAATGGCCTGGGCAGCTGGGGCCCACTTGGTAATTTTATTCCAAGTTTGGGGCGTAAAGTGGTTTGTGGCAGTGGGCAATTTTTAGCCAACGGCAAATTGGGTTTATGAAGATACTGGTGGGGCCCTTTCTTGGGTCCTTGTTTACTTAGTGTGGGCAGTCCGTGGGCCTCCTTTTATGGTGCTCGTGGTCTTGTTGATTTTGGGCCTTTTCTTGGGCTAAATTGTATTGGGTCTCAATTTTATTGGTGTGCCCATTTATTTTTGATTAGCCACAATGCAGTGAATCTTTTGTAGTCGATTATTTCATGATGATTGATCGTGTGATCCTCATGTGATTCGATATGAGGTTAGTTTTGGGCCATCTCCGCCAAGAGTGATTGTGGAGTCACTGCTATGGGGAATAGTGATTCGATAACTAGCCGAGTTAGAGACTGGGAGATGAGCGGAAGGATAGCTACTGGTTTTTTGGTCGCTTCTTGTCTTCATGTGACCCATCCTAATTGATTGCTCTGCCACGCCTGACATGGAGTGATGGGGACACTGCCGTGAGGTTTAAGGCTTGTGATCTACCCAAAAAGGGACTGGGGGATGTGATGATTGCTCTCATGTTTTGTTGGCTATGTTTTGGTTTGCTGCAGCGGGGCTATTGTTTTTCACTACAACTCTCAAGACCGTGGCTTATGGTTGCTGACCGCACTAGCTTCATGTGATTCTGTTGGGATTTCTCATGGGATAGATTTTTTCCTCTGTTACGGCTTTGGTTAAGTGGCTTGGATGTCACGGCTGTGAGGAGTGGGATGCTTATTGGATTCCATGTGTTTATCTACAGTATAGACTGGGGGCTTGTGGGGTTGGTGGTATCCTTCGTTTCTGGCGTGAGGGTTGTAGCTTTGTGAGTGTCTGTCGTGTTTTACAAGTTTTGGAGTGCTTTTTTGTATCTTTGCCCATATATTCACCTCAAGTTTCTTTCTATTATCTCTGATGGTAGGGATTACTTGGGGACAAAAAGGATATATGGGCAAAGTTGGGTTATTTGTTGCTTTGTTGTTCTTGTATATCCCCCTCTTTCTTAGAGGGGTGTAGTGGTAGTTTCTGTTGGTTTGTAATTGTTTTTTTTATTATTTGTTGTTGGGCGT